CTGAAGTTTGCCAGAGAGCACATGGATGATACAGCAGAGGATTGGGAGAATGTCATGTGGTCAGATGAAACCAAAGTAGAACTTTTTGGTATAAACTCAACTCGTCGTGTTTGGAGGAAGAAGAATACTGAGTTGCATCCCAAGAACACCATACCTACTGTGAAGCATGGGGGTGGAAACATCATGCTATGGGGCTGTTTTTCTGCCAAGGGGACAGGACGACTGATCCGTGTTAAGGACAGAATGAATGGGGCCATGTATCGTGAGATTTGGAGCCAAAACCTCCTTCCATCAGTGAGAACTTTGAAGATGAAACGAGGCTGGGTCTTCCAACATGACAATGATCCAAAACACACCGCCCGGGCAACAAAGGAGTGGCTCCGTAAGAAGCATTTGAAAGTCCTGGAGTGGCCTAGCCAGTCTCCAGACCTCAACCCCATAGAAAATCTGTGGCGGGAGTTGAAAGTCCGTGTTGCTCGGCGACAGCCCCAAAACATCACTGCTCTCGAGAAGATCTGCATGGAGGAATGGGCCAAAATACCAGCTACTGTGTGTGCAAACCTGGTAAAGACCTATAGTAAACGTTTGACCTCTGTTATTGCCAACAAAGGTTATGTTACAAAGTATTGAGTTGTATTTTTGTTATTGACCAAATACTTATTTTCCACCCTGATTTACGAATAAATTCTTTACAAATCCTACCATGTGGATTCATGGATTTTTTTTTCACATTCTGTCTCTCACAGTTGAAGTGTACCTCTGGTGCAAATTACTGACCTCTGTCATCATTTTAGGTGGGGGAACTTGCACAATCGGTGGCTGACTAAATACTTTTTTGCCCCACTGTATGTCAGTACACCAGAACATTTTGGACAGTTTCATGTCCCAACTTCGTTGGAACCTTTAATGAGCAAGTTTGGTGTAGAAGAACTTGACTGCACAGTGACTGCTACCCAATAGAACTGAGCCAGGCCTTCTCATCCATCATCAGTGTGTAACCTCACTTTCTGGAAGAAGAAAACGCCCATGAACATTCTTCTAAACCTTGTGGAAAATCTTTCCAGAAGAGTTGAAGCTGTTATAGCTGCAAATGGTGGGCCAACAGCATATTGAATCCAATGGATTAAAATGGGATGTCACTCAAATTCATATGCATGTGAAGGCAGACGAGCAAATTCTTTTGGCAATATAGAGTACAAGAATTATTTATCAGGGTTGGGGTCACAAGGGCAGCAGTCTAAGCGGAGATCCCTCTCACCCGACCAGCTCCTCCAGCTCTTACTGGAGGACACTGAGGTGGAGGACTGAGCCAGTCAATTGACGTAACATCTGCAGCGGGTCCCAGGTCGAGCCTTCGGCCTTCTCTCAGTTGGGCATGCCTGAAAAACCCCACCTAGGAGCTGTGAAGGTGGCATACTTGTTGCCTGAATGACTTTAACTGGCTGTACTCTGAGCCCCTCCCAAATTACCAAGCTCCTCATCCCATCTCTAATGCAGGGCCTTAGATCAATACCTGGCTGCTCCAGTCCACACTTCAGAAAGGACTTTGGCATAGAAAAAAATGCTTGTAAGAATGGGTGAATGAGGCATTTTGTAGAAAATGCTTTGAGTGCTCAGATAGAGTAAAAAGCTCTGCGTATTTACATTTACTCATTCAATATAGTTACTGAACAGGTAAAAGTAGTATTGGGTTAAGAGTTTGTTTGTTTGTTTTTTTTACTTTTGACCCTAATACAGTCATTTATGAGAACAGAAGCCCCACCCACATACTGTTCAAACTTTCTGTTTACAGAGGGTAACCAATCAGAAGAAAGCTAGCCAAAGGCAAAGGTAAACGAAACAGCTTGTTCAGACAGCAATAAATTGAGGGACTGCACCAAGGCCTGCTAAGTTTCACTAGACCAAAATGCAGGAGAGGACAACAGGTAAAAGGTAAAGGGTTTATTTACAACAAACAGAGAACAAGTTTGACAGAAGTATCCAGGTGAGTGTTGCAAAGGTCAGGGGCAGGCGTAATATCCAAAAATACACAGCAGAGATGTGACACACACGGGAGAAATCTGCAGCAGAGAAGAAGAGATACAATGTAAGTCTTTGTCAAGAACCAGAATTACTAAATACAGCTGAGAGCTTGAATGAGGATTATTTTCAACTCTGAATCATTAAACATAATCCAGTAGAGTCCATGAGTAAATATCCAAAGCTTTAAATGAGTACAATGCTCCAGTGGTATTAATATACTCATTAGCAACTAAAAGTATTTAACATAGTTTTATAAAATGAAAAAGTGAGCTTTACGTGCGAGTGTTTCTTTAATTGTGACATCATACAGCACCAGTGGGTGGAAGCACAATCTTAGAGTAATAGAAATGTGACAGGTTCAAACCCACAGCCGTAGGAAAAAAAGAAAAAATCTATTCATACTGAAGGAGGGTCAAAGAGACTTTATTATTAGAGTGAAAGAAGAGGGGGAGAACTGGGCACATGGGTGTCATTAAAAGTTAGAAGACATTAAAAGATGAAAAGAAAGGAAGGGGATGGAGGCTGTTGAGGACAGATTAATAAACAGCATGTCAATATGTGGCGCGCGCACACACACACACACACACACACACACACACACACACACACACACACACACTTACGCAAAAGGAGCAGTGGTGAGTCAGCCTCCTGTGAGTCACAGGAGAAATCAGAAATGTCAGACTGAAACAAGAGACACACACACACACAGACACACACACACACACACACAGAACACACACACACACACACACACACACACACACACACACACACACACACACACACACACCCACACACAGGGCTGTAGCCACCCATTTCTGACATTAATGAAGATATCCTTGACAAACTGTTCTCTTTCCTTCTTCTAAAAAAAGGTGACAGCGTAAGGCTTTAGGCACACACACACCTGAGAAACACGTGAGTTTAACACATCCTGTGTTGCAGTGCAGCTGGACGTTTGGATAATATTGAGTATATGCAGACATTAGACCTCGTCGTGGAGGATGGATATTTTCTGTCATCTGTTGTTGTCCCTTAACAACTCCCCAGAACCCCAAGATCAACACCATCAAGGATTTAGCTGCTGCTCATTAAACACACGATCACAAGGTGAATTATCCGAGACAGCAGCGCCCTCAAGAGGAGAAGAAGGCAGAGTGCAGGGATGTTACTGTGATTGCAATAACGCAGTACTTTTACTACATTTTAGGAGTAAACACAGTATTTTTAAGTGCACTTCAATCGATAGTTTTTGTTTTTTCACCCTTTTTACTGCTTGTCCAAGTCCACTAGAAATGAGAGCATCTGTAAATGTGAAATTTACAGTGGAGCTTGTAATTGTGATTTAAAGGCCAAACAGCCACAACCTCCCAGAATGCATTGCTATTTACAGAATATTACTGTGTTAAAAAACAACAACAACACAGCAAAATCATGCTGTGATTTTTGCAGGAAATTATTAGAACAGATAATGTTGGGTTTTTTTAGTCTGAGTACAAAGTCTCCTATTCTATTAGTCTACTATTTATGAAGTTTAGGAGTGTTGGTGGTGACTAATCCTAAGGATTTATTGGCCTGACCTTCTTGTCTTCAGTCAGCCTCAGTAACACTGATGAGATGAAGATGACTACTAAAAATCAAAGCTATGTTAAACCTTTTTTTTCATGAGTAAAACTGTACTTCAGCAGCTCCACAGGTTGACACTTTAACCAAATGACAACTGACAACACGGATAAAGCTTCAGAGTGACGCTCGGCTCTTTGAAGTAAATTTCAATTTCTTTTCCTGATGTTTATCAAGAACGTATATTCACTCCTGATAAAATTTACAAGACAAGAGCAATGACTCATGATCACATTTAAACAGCAGCATTTGCTCCTGAGCCACAGCCGTCCAACAACAGCTAACAGGAAAAATTTGACAGCGACACAGAGTGCCACAGAGCCTCACTGTTATATTGTAGCTGATGTTATTACCTGCATGATTTGCTTTTCTTGTGTGTGTGTGTGCTTTCCTTTACTGGAATAAATATATTTCTGCTGTCATGCACATATTGATGCTTAAAGGTTTAAAAGAATGCAGGAAATGATGCGCAGAACGTAGATCTGTATCCGTGATTGTTTTAAGAAGTTGGGAAATTCTATCAGAATTTTTTTTTAAGCAAACAAAAGCATCTGATAATTCAATGGATTATAAGGATTTTAATGTGCACAGACCCACCAGAATTCTGTAAACATAAAAAAGAAGGTTTAATGGTGACTTAATAGGGCTAGAGCTAATAATAAGATGTAGTGTGGTTGCAGTAGTAAATATATTTGATTTTACTGAGTGGCTGTAACGATAGTGTCTCACATGTCTTGCTCACATTTTTCAAAGTAAACAGGTTAGAGAGTTAAAGATGGTAAGCAATGGTTCAAAAATCACTCGTGTGCTGCTTCCATCTATTAAACCAACATATTTCATCGATAGTGTTTTTTGACAGCACATAGTTGTACATTTACAGCGATACACTGGTGAATTTTTCACTCCTGCCGATTACTGTGCCACATCAACACCCCCTCCCCCTTCCGCCCCTGCGTCCATTGTCTTCATTACTCTGAGTGAAACTTGCTTTCTGGAAGGTAACGCAAACTGAGAATCCACACGAGTGGGTAGTGCCTTTAAAAGCACTGGTGGCTATGACTGTCTGCGTCTCCACTAACGAGCTGCTCTCATTCAAAGACGAGCGCTCCCATCTTCCTCCTCCTCTTCTTCTCGCTCACGCACCCACCTCCATCTTTCCCACTCCAGCGTTGTCAAGGCAACAAACCTTTACATCGAAGCCGTTAGTCATAAGTCCACGCAGACAACCCCCTCCCTTGACGCTGTCATGACGTTTTATCACGTAAAATCTCATTTTCATGATTCATTTTTCTTGGAATCCTCTGTGTGAGCTGAGTGTGTACATCAGAGTTTGATCCCCATATCATCATCCTCATATTATTATTATTATTATTAATACGATCACATACATATATAAACATAAGTATGCTTTCCACTGCTTATCGCCGTCCTAAAGTCACGTGGTCTTTTTTTTTTCTAATAAGGCCACCCAAAACAAACACACACACCCACACACAGGCGCACTTGAGCCCGGTGGCAGGCAGGGGAGGAGGAGGAAGGCGGATCTGTAAAGTCGACTCTGCAGGACTTCCTCGCTACAGCCGAGCAGACCGTGGAGCGCAGTAAGTACTCCACGCTTCCTGTCAACCTTATGCTCTGTGCCTTTCCACAGTCACTGTGAACATAACTCAGACACAGCTAAAGCAGGCTGGAGAGTCCCGTTGATCCCACAGGTAACAGGTGACAGCGCACCGTGGGAGCGTGAACACGACTGTTTGACTTGCTGTCATTCTTCCCCGTGTGTGCGCGCGCGCGCCGTGTGCGTGGAAGGTGAATTGTAACAAAGAGGAGCTGATAATGGAGTTTGAGCTGCAGTCGTGGAAATCCGTTGGATTCGGCTGTTCTGTGCTCCAGTCCTCATGTAACAGCTGTGACACACTTCCTGTTATGCATTGGGAGCGGCATTGATACCTTGTGACTTTTAGGTTGATATGAAACATGATAAAACACAGCAGACACGGGCTCCTGTGTGTTTTTATTTTTAAATCTTCCGCTTCAAGCCAGTGTGGTGCTGGCTGTGTTCATGCCATGGTGATTCTGTTCTGTAACAGTGACATCAGGAACTTTAAGATCCTGTTGTGAAATGAAACAGGACTTTTTGCTCCTTTTATGCGTCAGTAGTTTAACGCAGTTCAGAGCCAAAGACGTGTAAGTACATGAAGGAGCCATTACAAATAGGTTATTCCGTTTTATGCTATTTTTATACCTTTTAATGCATTTCTTAGACGCACATTAGGGAATGCCTAACAGCATGAAAACATCAACCCAAAGAAGAAGCACGGTGGCAGTGGCATCAGGATTTAGGCTTGTCCAGCTGATGTTTAGCAGAATTTCAGTGAGAGGTTAAGAGCAACAACCACAAGGTGAGCAGAGACCATAGAAAGTCAATGACGTTCAAGTGACTATGGGTGAAATAAGTGCTGGCACCAGAACAACATTTTCTAAACTTCCAGGCAAACTACTTCCTGTGAAACAGAAGAAGAACACCTGTTGCCTATTCGCTGTCCTATGTCAATCAACAGTGTTCTGCATTCCCATTGGCTGTTCCTTCAATCGCTTGCTCAGAGTTGAGAATAATTAAACTTGGGACCAACAGCTATTTTGACTAATGCGACTACTAACATGAGAGCAAAGGATAACAGATCTATGTCAGGATAGCAAATTCATTAATTCAGGCAAACAGAGCCTGGAATGGCCATAAACAACCGACCATCAGTGATAAAGTAGAGCACAGCTGATTTCCTTCCCTTGGTGGACATCCATTAAGAAACTGGAAGTTCAGAGAGCAAGAACGGTCTCCTTTAGCAGCAGTAAACCTTTTTTTTAACCTTGTTATTGCTGCTAAATGGAGGTTCATTGTTGCATTGCGTTGACCATGAACACCCTTTCATGGTAACGGTATTCCTTGATGGCTGTAGCTTCTCTCAGCAGGAAAATATGCCCTTCCACAAAGTGAATATCTGTGGGACGCGCTGGACAAACAATTCCAGTCTCTGGAAGCCCCACCTCGCAACTTACAAGTCTAAAGGATCTGTTGCTAACTTCTTGGTGCACCACACCTTCAGAGGTCGAGTGGAGTCCATGCTTTAGCGGGTCAGGGCTGCTTTGGCAGCAAAATGGGACCAACACAACATGATCAGACCTTTTTCTTTTTTTTTTTTTTTTGTGTGTCCCGTTTGGATCTTTAGCCATCAGAATTGTTGTCTTAAGGCCAAGAAAGATGCCAAGCGGATTTATTTTACCAAGTGGATCATCATGGCCTTGCCATATTGGTCCATTTGATTGACCTTTATTATAATTATGAATTTATTTTATTTTCAGTTGCTACAAACGGGACAGACATGACTGGGGGATAGGACAGGGAGAGAGAATGAAAGAAAGAGAGGGAGAGAAAGAAAACCAAAGGGGAGAAGAGACGGTGAGAAGGGGGGGAAGAAAGAAAAAAAACAAACACCTGGGTCACCTGTATGGAGAAAAAAAACAGAAGAGAAAGCAAACAACAAAGAGCAACATAATAAAAAAAACGGCACCATCACAATAAACTAGCTAGCAGTAGATATCAGTAGATACTAAATAATAAACGATATTGTGCAGCACGCAAGATAGACAGCGCACAATGTGCTTTGAGGCAGCAGCCAAGAAAGCTGTAGTCCGCGTCTGTGAATACCCGTGTGTACACCTGTGTGGATCAGCATGCTTGCATTCCAAAGGTTTCTCCATGTAACGATCTGCTAGGGAGTGTGGGGGGCCACAGCCCCGTCCTCCAGGGCATGAAGCAGGTATGGAGGAGATCAAAACTCCAGACATCCAGAGGCCCCCAGAACACAAGAGACCAAGGAAGACCAACAGAGGGGCAGCCGCGCCACTGTCCCAGTAAGAGCTGAGGAGAGTCCCAGATGAGGGCTCACTCAGCAGCCGCGGAGCAGAAGCCAGGGGGAGTTGCAGTGACGCGCCCGTGAGCTCCGCCGGCAGCCAGCCGTGCCTGAGTGACCGAGCCCCAGGCCGAGAGGCCGGGGGCACCCCACCTCCGAAGTGGCCCGAGCGAGCCCCAGGCTCCAGGCCCCGATAAGCGGCCGCCAAGGAGTGAGCCGGTGTGTACCCGGACGCCCACCCCCAGACACAAAGAACCACCAACGCACCGACACCTGAGGGAGTCCGCCACTGGCAGGGGAAGTGGTGGTGGGTGGAGATAGGCCTCCAAACCTTGGAGGGCCTGAGATGTCCCCAGAGAGGTGGCGTCTGATACCCAACCTGACATATAGACACAGACATACAGGCACACACAGACACAAACATCCATTCCCACCCTCATGCTCTCATATGCACTTACTCCACACTCAACCAACGTGGAGACAGACATAAAGAGACGCTGTACACACGATCACACTCCCCAAGCGTACTCTACAAACCGGGTCTAGGTACCCTTGCCCCTGGAGGGGGGAACTGCACCCAGACCCAGGTGGTGTTACCCTTTTCCCTGCGGTGGGGGGAGGCAGACCGCCCCGACTCCGCAGCAGCAGGGAGGCCCCACACTCCAGACCGCAGTCGGACGGCCAACTCCTCCTCCTAGCCCCCCCGCTCCAGCAGGTCGCAGAGAATGGGGGTGAGAGAAGACTCCAAACCTCCCTCCACCCGCTCATTGTAGTGTTGATGCATGTGTGTTCTAAGGTGCATTTAAAACCCAGGAGGGCATGGAGCTACCTGCCAGAGAGCAGCAGGTAAGCGCATGGTCCCTCCTGCTAGCCCTCAATGTCTACGTGTATTTAAATTGAGAGGTGGGCAACGACGCCAGGGGTGGGTGTACACCCTGATGGTACTTTGGATCCGTGTATCGTGCCCACCCCCAAGATCCTATATGTATGTGTAATGAGAGTGTGAGTAATGTGAATGTCTAAGTTGTGGGATAAAATTGAGGCAGAGGCAGCCAGAAGGGGACAGAGGGGGGGGTAGCCTCCTCTGCACCCTGGTGACATACCCCTACTCCAAGGCCCTGCATGTGTGGGTGGTTGTGGTGGAGCGGGAAGAGGAGAAGCGCGTCCATGCTCACAGGTGTACACACGGGTGATCACACCCACAAACTACACCCTTTTTGGCTCCTACCTCAAAGCACACTGTGTTCTGTTGATCTTATGTGCTGCACAATAATGTTTAATATTTAGTATTTACTGTCATATTCCCATATATCATTGTGATGTTGTTTATTCTATTACTCTTGTTCTCTTCTGCTTGTTTTCTTTTTTCTTTCTCAGCAGGTGACCAGGTGATTGATATATGCATTTTTTTTCTCTGCCCGTTCTGTTGGTTTTTGGTTTTTGCCCTTCTCCCCCGTCCCTCTTCTCAGCTGTTTCTCTTTCCCTCTTTCTTTCCCCCAGTCAAGTCTGTCCCGTATTCAGTAAGTGAAAATAAAATAAACAATAAAAGGTGAATCAAATGGACCATTACGGCAAGGCTGGGATGGTCAATTTGGTAAAGTAAATCCGTTGGGCATCTTTCTTTGCCTTTAGACAACAATTCTGATGGCAAAAGAGCCAAACGGGACAGGCAAAAAAAAAAAAAAAAAAAAAAAAAAAAAAAAGAGATGGGGAGGGAAGGAAGGGAGGGGCAGGTCCCCCTCCCTGGGGCCAGCTCCCCCGCTGACCCCAGTAGGCACTCCCATACTCCGCGACCTGCCAACATGATCAGACCTAATGTTATGCCTGATCAGTGTGCATGTGGTACTTGCATGTTAATATAATTGACATGCTCTATGCTTATTTTATACACTAATACGGCATCTTATGAAAAACTTACCCAAGAAACTGAAACTAACCCATAACTCTTCTCATTCCTTATTGTAAGTAATAAGAAGAGTGTCGTTGCAGGATATTAGCACACGATAACAGACATGTCATGATGTATGTGTATGTGTAGTGCTTTTTGTTACCAGTGTATGAAGGGTTTAGAGCCTGATTTTATGTTCTAGCAGGCCTGAATCCTGAAACAGTCACAGAGGGCATTCAGTATATCTGTTTTTAGATATTTATTTCTTTTTATAGATGGAAGACTGTTCAGCTAAATCCTTTTAGGATGTTAGACGGCCCCTTGGTGAGTCTTTTCACTGCCCAGTCTTTGACACTGGCTGGTGAAAGACAGACCCTAAAGATGGAATACAAATGCAGGAGTGATGTTGGCTGATGTTATGTTTCATGGGTACAGATTTTCTCATACTGCAAAATTTCCTGAAACAAATATGAGTTATTTTAGCTTTCTTTCCTCTCAAAAGCTCAAATAAGTCAAACTCTTTATAATGTGACATGATGAAAAATAATGTTTGTGAGGTACTTGGTATCTTGTCTAACCCATCTTTCTAATTGAATTTACTTTGATTTTATTCAGCAAATGGTGCAGCCTAAGGCATCGGTTCTAACTGCTCTGTTCCTGGCTCTCAGATCATGGAGGACTCTGCCCCCCGTCGTAGTCGCGCTGCGTTTGCGGGGCTGGTGGGAGTGTCCCAGGTGCTGGGTTTGGCATCGGTGGTGCTAACCGGTGTGTGGATGGGTCACTTCCGTGGAGGTTTTGCCTGGAATGGCTCAAAGCAGGAGTTTAACATCCACCCTCTGTGTATGGTGCTGGGCCTGGTCTTTCTGCAAGGAGATGGTGAGTCCACACTGATCAATGAGTGTACAGGTAGAACCACAGCCTAATCAGGATGTGGCTCAAACTAAGTGATGCATCTCTGTGATTGTATTATACTTTTTTTATTGTTAAAAAAAAGGCTTTACTTTCCTCACCCATCACTCCCCATCAGGTCAGGCTAGATCGCCGCCCCTCCCTGAGCCTGGCTCTGCTGGAAGTTTCTTCCTGTTAAAAGGGAGCTTTTCTTTCCCACTGTGGCCAAGTGCTTGTTCAAAAGGGGTCGGCTGATTGTTGGGGATTTCTCTGTATTGTTGTCGGGTTTCTACCTTACAAGATAAAGTACCTGAGGCGACTGCTTTTGCAAATTTACTCTGCATAAATAAAATAAAATTGATATAAATTGTTTGTTTATTATGTATTTGGGTTTTTTTCAGCAGACATACCGACCGTGCTACTGTCAAACATTTTAGATCCCTAATGTTAGTGTTAAGCAATAATCCAGGGAAGTCATGAAATATCATCTGTATCATCTATAAAAGATTTATTGAACAGAACACATTGTACGAAGAATAAAGATAGAGACAGGAGGTTATTAATGCAAACAAGTGCTAACACACACACACACACACACACACACACACACACACAC